AAAAGTGTTTCTTCCACATCATAAAGAAGGCCTCTCTATGAAGAATATCAGGAACTCAAGGCAACGTACATATTACTCCTTCCTCCCATTTTCCCTTACACCAACAATCCTGTGAGGTAAGAATGACTAGCCCAAAATCACCCACTGAACTGTGTGAGAGTGGGCTTGAGCCTGAAACTCTCCAGTCCTAAACCAACACCTTAATCACTACAGTACAGTTTCAAGACAAGAGATAAAATCCCCAGTTCACATTTAAGAAGAATCATCATGGCCCTACTACTTGGTTATGTTGGCCAAATGGACAAACAATTAAAATATCATTACAATGCTGAGCGGGATCCAATAAGTAATGTATTATCTGAAATAGCAGCATTTCACTGAATGTGGGAGCACCCACTTCTCCCACTCCTTTTAGCCCCAAGGTTGCCCTTGGAGTGATTTGGCACACTTCAAAACAAAGCCCGGGATTACATCTATCATTTTTTTATTTTCTGGAAATGTCTGTGCAGACCTATGTAGCGCCTAGAGGCATTTCTGTAAATAAAGATGACGTTAGTGCTTGATTCCTTGTTTGTTTAAAATTTTCCTTATTTAATAAAATAATGTAAAAACAAACTGAAATCAAATGGGTAGAAAACCTTGAAGGTGCCAAGAGTCTATAGGTATAGTGGTACCCATCAATATTTGTATGTAACCTTCTAATTTTACCAATTTTCCTGCCTTTTAGCTTTATTGTATACATTAGATATGTTCAATTAAAAAAAAATTAGGATATATGGTTTTATGCAGTAAGCAACTCTTGGTATGAAAAGTGGGCTATAGAGGTATATCTTGTTTTTCCTCTGCCTTTGCTGTAGGAAATGTGATACTGACCAATTGCTTGTACATCTAGATAATATTTTAAAATATTAACTAACATATTAAATCATTTCATATTTTCATGGCTGGTGTATGTTAATATTGATAGTTCAATCTTTAATTTTTAAAGAGTCTAAGCTAGTGCCTTCCCAGAGACCAAGAGGTACCTCAAATACCTACAGGTAACAAGTGTCAATGTACAGAAATTCTTTGTTCAGCAGTCTCCCACACAGTTTTGTGCAGCAAACTATTGAAAGAAATACCAAATAGAAGCAAATATACCTTCCAAATTCAGTATTAAGGGAGAAGGCCTTTTCCACAAGGAACTTGGGCACAAGGAATCAGAATTGGGGAAACAGCAGTCTTGACAGTTGAGCCATCTATGATCACATATGGAATCACTGTTCTAAAAAATATATATATTCATGCTACATTTTCTAAAGATTCTGCCTTTTTTGACCAAGGGAGATACATTTTGTATAATGTTTATATAGGAGATTCTTCTGTGATTCCTTCCCCCTTTGGAATGTATTTTTGCCTCTATTAGGCAAATCAAGCTTTCATATCACATTGGCATTTTGTACATCCATAAAAATATATAGAATAAGTCAAGGTTGACTACCACCAGAAATAATTCGGAATAGCAGAAATGACATTTTAACTCCACAGAAAAATTTGTGATTAGATTCTGAAAGCCTTTTTCTCTTGGATGGAGTCTGTGGATTCATTCCATAGAACTTTCCGATGCCTAAGCATGGAATTTGGCCAGACTCACTTTCTCTGAACTGTGCCCAGCAGATAACTATGTGAGGTTACAATCATCACTCTGATAAATAGCTGCCAGCTCACTTTCTCAAAATATTATTCATGCAAACAGTCTACTCGCACGAGCTCTGTATCACTGGAACTGTGAATTTACACATGGTTGCAGCTCTTATTCTGTAAGCTGGGAAAATTACAGATGATCACCAAAACAGACTGTCAGGCTTTGGAAGGAAGAGACAGGTTACTCATCCTCTTTCACCTCTGGGAGTTAGAGTTCAATAGAAATAGACAGTGTAAGATTGGAGAAAACCAATTTAGTTGATTTACATCTCTTATCAGCTTTAAAATCATATTCCTCCCTTTTTGTATCATGTTTTGGTGTAGTAAGAAACATTAGCTGTTTTTTTCAGAACAAGTTACAAAATCTCCACTCTGACACTACTAGAAGGATCTATGATGAAGGAAGGAAATGTGTTTTAATAACCAGTACAGGAAGTATTTGATTTTTTCAGATCCAAAGCCTTTTGGATAAATCTGTATCATAACACCATCTTCTGAAAAAAGGGATACCCTTTCCTCTAGCCCTGTTGGATTACAACTTCAGAATTCTTAGGTATCATAATGGGAGTTGTAGTCCACAGCATTTGAGTAGCACTTGGAATGCTGCCTAACCATTCCCAGAGTCCTGAATGGCACTCTCAGATACGATGGATTACTAGACCCATTATCTTGATCCAGCAGGTTAAAGAAGGCTGAATTAAAGCCATAGGGTGGGTGGTTTGAGATGTGTCCCAAATTATGAGTTCTGAATCCGCAAACAAAGACCAGCAAATAGACTAGCCGCCACCACCTGGTGCTCTCCAGCTGCACTGAATTAGACCCCCCACAATTCCTTCCGTGATGCGTGGGAACTCTGGACATCTGAATCCGAGGATCCAAATGACTCCGTTGTTCTGACAGGCAAAACCAAGCGCACGTGCTCGGGCTCCCGGCCGACCCCGTGACCTCAGCGAACGAGCAGCGCTCGCTTTCGCTTGCGTCCTCCCCGGCGTGATCCCTCGACGCGCAGGCGCAATAGCGGTTATCTAATCAGCCGCGCCTCCTCCCTTTCCTTGCTCAGCGGGCGGAAGCGCAGTTCGACGTGAGAGGCGGGAGGAGGGGTCGTTGGTGGCGGCTGTTCCGGTCTCAAGGGGTTTCCTGGTTGCAGCAGGCTGCGCTAGTGAGTAACGTGGGTGAAGGAGGCCATGAATTCGTTGACTCGTGTCTCTTCCCCCTCCCCGTCTTAGCCCGAGTGCTGGCTTTTGTTCCTCTCCCCCTCCCCCTTTTAGAGCGGCCAACCACCTAAAACCCATCCTTTGGCCAGCTGCCAGAGCCGAAGGACGTAAAGCAGAAAGGAAAGACAAAGTCAGAGCCAAGTTTGTGCTTTGGGGGTATTTCCGGGGTGTAAAGGATGGTTTCCCTACGGATGTGGGGGAGGAACATTGTCCCTACTTTTTTTCCTGTTTTGCAGAACCGTTTTCCCTCAGAAGGCTAAATTGCCCATCATGAGGCATTTGTGTGTATTGATTATCCATTTATTTATCCCAAGTGTTTACAGCCCACTCCGTACCAGAAAGGGTTCTGAGGTGGCTTTCTGGTCAGTACAAACAAGAGAGTGCGTGTCTTTAGGATTACAGTTTCATAATAGGACAGGACACAGAGGAAGAAGAAACTGGAGAGAGAAAGAACAAAACAGTGAAGTGCTGATTCTTAATGTTATAAAGCTTTATAATAACCTGTTGTGACAGAGTCAGGAGAGTAGCTTTTCCCCATTGTCTCTCCCTGTGAGGCAGCCTAGGAACATCTCATGGGAGAGAAGCAAAGTCTGATGAAGCCGGCTTCTCAGCTTTGCCGGTTTTCAAATGTGTATATAATTGGGGGGGAAAAAGCACTGGTAGTGGTGGAGGCATTAAATGTTTAAAAAGAATAAGTGGTAAACCTTTTTTCTATTTCTAAGGAAGAGGAAGACTGTTCCTCACCCTCTTTTTGGTAACACAGAAGTCCTCAACCTGTTTTATTAATCTCGAAGAAACCGGTAACATAATAAAGCTAGACAGTGCTACCAAAGTCAATATGCATATCAAAGAGAAATCAGTGTAATTAGTAAGTGAGGAAGCTTACTGACTGATCCTGACCATTCACCAACTCTCAGGCTAAAATAAAAGAGTCAAAGAAATATGGATGCTACCTTGAGTGGAAGAAGGATGAAATATGAATGAAATAAAAATATGTGTAGCCCATGAATTCTGTGTCTCTGTATTTACAGAAGAATCCCATTGCTGTCTTTGAATGGCTGTGATAATAGAAACTTCAACAAGACTACTGTCCTGTAGAGGAAGAAACAAAGCTTGTGTCCTTCCTCTTCCTTTCCTTCCTGTCTTGGCAACTTTTTTTTCTTACATGAAATGATTTTTTTCTGTACAAGCACCAGTTTTTGTCAGATATTTTTGATGTTGAATCCAGGATTGATATTATATATAATTTTGTCTTGATATAAATAAACTGTGTTCATAATTAATTAGCAACATGTCAAGGGATACCAAAATGTGACCAAGTCATAAAAGTTAAATTGGCAGAAATGTACCTTTAATTCATTGTTGGAATGAATTGTTGGAGAAAAGAAGACAAGGATCATGAACTTGGATGATGTTGCTGTCTTTCTGGGAGAGCCTTTTTGCTATAGTTTAGCTATTTCATTTTTCTTGACAAAGAATGAGTAGTGCGGGATTTCTATTTTCTTCATTTCCCTGGTATTAAATATTTTTAGGTTGTTTGATATCTGCTTATTTCAGAAGCTTGCATACACTGGATAAGTGTGTTAAAATTTTATTCTGAGGAAACATTTATTAAAATTCCATCCTAGCCAGTGAGTAACTGTGGGCATGCAGCTCTCACTAAATATAGATTTGCTCATCTATGAAATAGGCTATTAATAAGTAGTCATGATAGCACCTTACAGTATTTTGTGTTACTGAAGTAATAATATCCCACAAGGACAAAATTGGTTGGTTAAAGATGTTACCCTATTTCCTTGATTCTTCTCATGCCCTTTCTTGTCCTTAAGGCTAGGGTACTTTTCAGATGTTTTGGATTACATCTCTCATAAGCCCCAGTCAGTATAGCAAATGATCAGGAATTGTGGGAACTGTAATTCAAAACATTGGCTGGAAGGCGCCAGGTTGCTTACCCCATTTTCAGATTCTTAAAAACTTAAAAGTAGAATTGCACTCTACTTTTGCCAGATCACTATAATAGTTTTAATAACAGTAATGCTTAGCTAAATAGGTTTGCAAAGGATTGTGGATTCAAACCTTGGTAACACAGAGTAAGCCTGAGGAGATTTCTGTCTAAAACTTTGGAGAGCTACTATCTATAAAGGTAGACAAAAACTGATGGTCTACCTTTGTATAAAGTAACTTAGTATGTACTATTTATTTTATTTTATTTTTTGTACCTTCATGTCAGTTTTTGACTCCTGGCAACTGCATGGACTAGTCCCTGCAGTTTTCTTGTTTTTTGGAAGTGATTTGCCATTGCCTCCTTCCTAAGGCTGAGAAAGAGAGACTAGCTCAAAGTCACCCAACTGGTTTTGTACCGAAGGTGGGACTAGAATGTAGCTACTGATAGATACTGATTTTAGATCAGTGGAAGAAACAGATTGCTTCCTATCTGTACTGTGATTGCTCTCTGATTTCTCTATTCTTAAAATGTTTCTGCAAATCTTTAATGAGCTGTAGGCTAATCTTTGTCTTGATTTAATGTTGATTCAGAAATGATACAATGCTGTATTTGTACAATATGGGAGTATGGTTTGACTTGATAGCCTTGAATTAATAACCATGCTTTCATCATCTGTTTTGTATGAAAGGAATTCTTAGAAATACCCACATAGCCTAAAGCTCAAATGAATTAGTACAATTTGTGGAAAATTTAGTGTCTCCCAGCATGCATTGTGTACTTTTGGAGTACAAGCTATCTACTGTCATAGTGCTAGGGCTTGCTAGGTTTCCTAAACTATTAAGCAGATTATATATTGTATGTGACAGGTTCTGGGGTGTGTGTGTTATAAAATATGGAAGGTTCTCTCTATTTGATAGGGTATGATTAATGTTTTAAAAAATGTTTGTCAAATCATGTTGCTTGCCAGAAAAATAAGGCTTGGCAAGGTGGATCATTCTAGGCTGACTGTTTGCAAGCTACAGACATAGTAGCTTTTTATCTTCTGACCATGAGCCTTGCTTTTTTTAAATATAAGCTTGAGATATGCACTTACATGGGGAAGTTATGTTTTACACAAATGCATAGCTTTCAAAAATTGTCTAATAATGCCAAACCTGGTAATTTTCTACTTTTGAGCTATGCCACCTCATGTCATGGATTGGTTGACTAAGGAAGAGAAATTAAAGAAAATCAGGTTGTACAGAAACTACCCACTCCCTGAAATGGATGAGTCCTTTTGTTTTATAGTATTAATAGTATCTGCAATAAAAAAGACACTGAGTAGAATCAGGTGGAATTCTGTTGCTGCTCTAGAGGAGGATCTCTCCTTATGCCATGCGATTCTTGTGTTATACTCCTTACTTTACTGAGGAGTTAGAGTACATAGAGATGGTTTTTCTATCAGTACCTAGCCATGCCATTGGGGTTCAAAACATCATAATGGTGAAAAAATATTTTTATCTATCCCTATTAGAACAGTAGAACAATTGAGTACAGTATGATGTGTAATATAATAGAGTTGAATCTAGAGGAATTTAAACAGACAGTTGCTTACTTCAATGCCTTTGTTGGATCTTTGCTGATAAACTTATTGCAATTTGATCAAATTTGGACAAGCTATCAGGCAGAATCTAGATTGAGGACATTGTAATCATTTGCTTTTTACAATTACGTCAACCAGTTTGATATATTGTTTCAGAATACAGGTAGTCCCCAGGTTAGGAACACCAAGTTTACAGATGACCCATAGTTAAGAACAGAGCCTATTATAGCAAAATTCGAGTTAAAGACACAATGGTTCGAATTAATTACACAATACTACTTCCGGCTTACATAAAATTCGACTTAAGGACAGACCTTGGGAATGGAACTTGTTCTTAAACTGGGGACTACCTTTATTTGAGTATGCAGAAATCAGGCTTGTCAGCTGGACCCTAGTTTGTTTTGGTTAGTGAAAACCTGTCAGTTGCTGCTGAGTATGATCTTTGAGCAGAAATGTTAATGTTCATTAGTAGTGGGTAAGCTTTCCCTACTTCTGAGGGAGGTGCTAGCTCAGCTGCTTCTAAAGATTCATATTTGTTGTACTAGTAAAACTGTTGTACTAGTTGTACTGTTGTACTAGTAAACTATCTGGCAAATATTCCTTTGGATTTACTTGTTTTAATTCAATACAATGCAGAGGATGATTGCTGAGAGTATATCATTTTGTAAAGTATTATGTAGGGTTCTTCCAGGACTGGGTTTGAACTCTGATTAATATTCTTATAAAGCTGTAAGCTATAAGCTTTTGGAGTTAGGTTTCCCCAATATTTTAATGAATTCCAGTGGTAAAAGCTCTCACAAGTCATTGTTAAAGTCCTAATATTATTACAATTAATATTACAATTAAGTGAAAGGCAAAGAATAGATTACAATTTAAGTTATTTCCAGAGATCTGCCTGCCTGCCTGCCTGCCTGCCTGCCTGCCTCTCTCTCTCTCTCTCTCTCTCTCTCTCTCTTTCTTTCTTTCTT